CCTGGACTCGCCGTCGCCCAGCCGCGCACCCTGGAGGGGTGGGGTTGCCCGCGCTGCCGGCAGCCTTTCCTGTCCCGGACGGTGCGGCCCGGCACCTCCGACGACCGAGCACTATCGCCCCCGACAGCCTGTGGCCCGCAGCTAAGAGAACCCCCAGGTCTCGGGGCGAACCCCGGCGCCTCCGCAGCCTCTGCAGCCCAGGGCTCCGGGCAAGGGGAACCAGGAGCTAGACCACAGTTCCCGGGGGCTGCGCTTTTTCTGGCTCTCCTGAGAGGGTGGAGAAAGGGACAAAAATAAGCGCACAATTACCAGGTTAGAAAGTAACTCATCAGGAAAGAAGATGTGCTCACAGGTTATGATTATCCGAGGGGATATTTAAGCCATACCTGCTGCAAGAGCACGGGGGGGGGGGTGCATGTGTAGGTGGGTGTGTATTTGTGTGTGTGTGTGAGTGCGTGTGTGTGCGTGTGTATGTGTGCGTGAGTGCATGTGAGTGTGTGAGTGCGTGTGTATGTGTGTGAGTGCGTGTGTATGGGTGTGTGAGTGCGTGTGAGTGCGTGTGTATGGGTGTGTGAGTGCATGTGTATGGGTGTGTGAGTGCGTGTGTGCGCACATGTGTATGGGTGAGTGTTGTACGTGTGTGTAGATAGGTGTGAGTGCATGTGTATGTGAGTGCGTGTATATGTGTGCGTGTGTGCACATGTGTAGGGGTGAGTGTGTATGTGTGTGCGTGTGTGTGTATGTGAGCGTGTGCATGTGACTGCATGTGTATGGGTGTGTGTATATGTGTGCGTGTGTGTGTGTGCATGTGACTGCATGGGTATGGGTTGAGTGTGTGTATATGTGTGCGTGTGTGTGAGTGTGTGCATGTGACTGCATGTGTATGGGTGAGTGTGTGTATATGTGTGCGCGTGTGTATGTGTGTGCATGTGACTGCATGTGTATGGGTTGAGTGTGTATATGTGTGTGTGCGTGTGACTGCATGTGTATGGGTGAGTGTGTGTATATGTGTGCGTGCGTGTGTATGTGTGTGTGTGAGAGAGATCACCATTCATTTCTCTCCTCCAAGGTAATAAAGAGCCCATTTAATTATTGATTTTAGATTCTCCTCAAGACCAGCGAGAAGTGCGAGAGCCCACACACAAGCTCCTGACTCTTGCTCTCTGTGTATCACACCATGGCCATTTCCTTCCATGATTTCTGTCTCAGGTCTGGAACAAGAACTTACTATTGTTGAAATGTTTACTTACAGACTTAAGAAATGAGATATTCACCTTCTCTAAATCTGATTTTTCATCCTAAAATTTACTCACAAATTTCCATCACATTGTTTAAGGCAGAATTCTTCCAATGAATACTTCTGTGGGGTAAGCAAATGTTTTCATAAATTAAGTGCAAGGAGTTGTTAGTGTAATTATTATCATCACCATTCCGGATCTCCATTGAGCCCTACTCTGAGAAGGATGGGATACCTGGAATGTTTCCACTAGGAAGCAAAGTGGCTCAGGGAGGGAAGACTTAATTAATCAGTAAAAATCAAATGACTTTTTTCAACATAGGTAGGGCTGAAGTCTCCAATTTTTAGAGTATCGAATTGGTATTCATCAGATATTACTGCTAATGGCCATGACTGAAAATTCAACACCTTTGTACTCAAAATGAACCCCAGGTACTTTCCTGTTTTCTTATCTATCACTTACTAAGCCTGGAAAACACTCGAAGGGAATTTTTTCTGACCTACGTGTGGTACTCACCTGCTTACTAAGACTCCAGCTACCACCTGAGAGCTCTGAGGTGGCTGCTCACCGGCCTCACACACAACCTTGACCCTTCTCACAGACGTCTTGGAGGAAGTCAGCCAGGTTTCAGGGAGATGAATATCTGTCTGTTTCCTTCTGACTCACTGAAATGTGAGTAAGTGTTTGGAACAGACCCTTGTTTGGGAGGCGGGCTAGTTCCCTTAATGTGAGACAGGAATTTGAGCTTTGTCTCTGAGTGCTGGAGAGGAAAATGCATCCTTCTTAGCTTTTGTTCTCAGAACTAACCAGTAGAGAATAAATCAGGGGCTATAATTTTCCAGAGCCAGGCAAAACTTTTCACAAACAGAAACCAAAGCCCTGCCTCATATGAATTTTAAGAGGATAAAGGGTTTGTGAGATGAAACAGTTTGAGAACCCCTGCCTTAGTCCTCTGAGGAGTTATCCTGCCTAGGTGTAGTTGTGCTGGAAATCACGTTCTCAGTAGGGAAGAGGAAGATTAAGCCAGGGCTTCTCAAACGTTTTGGATTCAGGAGCCCTTTACACAATCAGTCCTTGAATTAATCTGTTACATGCTGACATAAACATATATATTCATTAACCATAACTGTATTTCCTAAAATAAAAGAATACCTGGGAAGGAGGGACATTGTTTTACACTTTTGCCAAACTTTTTAATATCTGGATTAAAAATTGACAGTTGAATTCTCTTATCTGCTTCTGTATTCAATGTGGTTTTGGTTAAATTATGGGGATTAATCAGGTGCTACACGGATAATGACTTGGAAACCAGGAGACACGGGCAATCCTCTGATACCACACCAAAACTCAACAAGTGGTAGTTTCCTAAGGACAAGTGGCAGTGTAGAATCTGAAACCACATCAATGATATTCCTACTCTGCAGATTAAAATTCACTGATCTACAGGCCTCTGCCTGTCCCTGTTCCTTTCTCTCTTTCTGTTAGTGCCCTGTGGTGAAGAATGCAGTGATTTCCAGTACCCTGACTGTTGTCACACCATCAGGGCAAGAGCTTCCACCACACGGTCAAAAAAGCAAACAGTGTCTCAGGATTGTTAGGAAAATATTGACCGAATCGACCCCTTGCAAGAGTCCTGAGACATCCAAAGACCACACTCTGAGAAAAGCTCAGGGCTGGAGCTTTTCCAGGCCTTTTCCTCTTTTTCTTCACTTAGTTCAAGGCAGACTTTTTTTGGAATAGGGGGCTCAATGTAATTTTTCCCAGTGTTTCCTTCTGATTTCTCCTGTTTTCATGCCCTTTGCTTACCTCATTTGCATATGTACAATCACCCAAACCAGAAACCTCTGTTTTCTTCCCCAGAGCCACCACCAGGCCACTCTGCCACCACGCAGCACCCATTCAGTCTTTTCCCCAACCACGGTTATCTGTGACATCTGTGTTCTGTTCCACTGTTACCCTCTCTAGTTCAAGCCTTTTTGATCTTTCACCACGATGTCCAGTCTCCCCAGTAATCTGTTCACGCTCCCTCTCCTGTTCCATTCCACCCTTTACCAATGCTCTCACAGTTATCTTCCTAAATGTGGGGTGGATCTGCGGAAAATCTCTGGCTGTCTTCAGGATGAATTCCGAGCCCCTGGAGATGACGCTGGCGACTGGGCCGCACCCACCTTTGCGTCTCCCTGATCACTTTCCCTCTCGCATGTCACATTTTGGCCACATTCACCTAGTGACTCCCCTCCCTGTTTCATTCTCCCTTGTTGAGAAGAAGAATAGCTTTCTTCTTTCTATTTCTTCAAAGTTTACTTCAGTACTCTAGTCAAATTTTCTATTATCTGCCCGGACTTTCCATCCCCTGCCTTGAGAACTAATTATTCTTCCTTCTTGTTTCTGGGATCTCATTCCCTGCCCTCCAAAGAATCCTTTTTTGTATGAATTATGATGTGTCTTAACTTTAGTTCTATGTGTGTATTCTAGCTTGATACCTAAATGCTGAATCTCTGAGATGTTCTATGTATATGTCATAAGAGTTTATTCATATAACCGATAAATGTCTCTAATAAATAGTTACTATATTGAAATAAATTTCCAGACAGTCCTATATTCTTCTCCTTGGATCTGAAAAGAGTAGGGAATATGGCATTCTGTGTAAGTCCTAGAAAATCTGAAATGAAGTAAGCAGTGACTCCTCACATGTTACCCAGG